CACATGTGCTCTCCAGGGCCATATTGGTAAGACCTGTGATATGAAGGTTGACAGAAAACAGTCATAAATCTGCTTTATTTGGAATGATCAACGCGTCATGTGGAAATGCTAAGGTTCCCCTGTTAGGTATCAGCAGTTCAAAGGAAAACAGTCAAAGCCACAATTTAACCCTATTAAACTTTCAGCAACCAAACTCTGTGTAACACAGAGATTTGTGCGTATCTAAAGAGTATAAAAACTGCTTATACCATGTTCTACAGTGGAAAAGAATTCTGTTAATTCCAAATATTATTCTAGATATTTTACATATAATGTAGTAAAAATCAGTGGTTTTGAGCATACCTGTAAATTTTTCTCCTTAGTGCAAGAATTAATGTAACAAAATAAGCTCTTCTGGAGTTGAAAAGCTGGTTTATTGGTTGATCCACAACTTGCAATGAACAGACTTGGTGTAAAAACCTTCCCTTCTTGTTGTTATCTTGGGATTTTTAAAATTGCAAAAGAAACCTTCAGAAAGAAAAGCCAAGAAAACTGTTTCTGAAATTAATCACCATAAAACTTTTGCTGCCATGCTTATTGGTTCAAATTAAATTTTCTGTTCCTGGTGCCTGCCTCGAGCTGAATCTTATTTTTAACCTCAGCACCTTAATTTGAAGACTGAGTTAACATTTTATTAGTGTCATATTTTACATTTTAAATTCCTTAGGACCATTGTAGAGAGGGACTTCAGAATTTTTTTTCCTAATGTGCTATTCATTTGTTGCAATTAACAGTAGCATTTTTCCAAAACTGTTGGGAGATGAGAATTTGTGATGTCTGAAGCAGACTTGAGAAAACAGAAAGAACGGTGCGCTTAGGTTTGGAAGGGGTCACTTGTTATCAGAGGTTCTTTGATTAAAGGAAGTTGTTCAGCATTCCAGAGTTGCAGCATGCCTATAGTTTTATGGATTATGAACCAGTTATATCTGGGGGGGGTTGCATTTTTGTGGAGTTGGTTTGATATTTTGGTAACGTCAAATTTTAGGCTGCCTGATAAGTGCTATTTTGTATCATCTTTTGTATTATCTGAGAGTGATTACTTTGCCTGTACTGTTTATTGCTTGTTTCAGAGACGTCTAACTTTCTAGGATATCAAAAATATTTTCTATCTAATATTGTCCCAGAACTCTCTTTAAATTTTGATGCTAGTTTTTTGAATATTGCTGTTAAGGTGTGACTGCAGGCCAACTCTAATTTTTTTGTAACTTTTGTTTCTTTCTAAACTGACTTAACTCAGGTCTTAAATACTGAAAGTGAGCAGCTATTATCACAGGCCGCTTACATGTCTTGGTTACTCTGTTCCAAGAATCTATATGCCTTTTGCATCTTGCATGGAGCTTCTACTGAAAATGTAAGCAATGTTACTAATGGTTGCCTATTACTAATATTTACCTCAGCCTATATATTTGTTTCTCTGGTTTTCAGTGCTTATTAGTAAACTAAAGGGATTAAAAAACTTATTCTATGTATAGATACAAGAGTTTTTGTTTTGCCCTTTTTCTGGCTTAACCTCAGAAGATACTCTTTGTCTTAGTTAGCTAGTACTTTTAAATTTGATGGAGGAAACGTAGCTAATCCTACCTTAAATATTTTTGATCGGTTATTAAATATTGGCCATCAACTTCATTTTCTGATGTGTAGATTCTTTATCTTTAGTCAGTGTGTCATTACTTAGCCTACACATGATTGAGTGTAATGATGGTATCTTTAAAGTTGCATCTTACTTCTTGCATATCCTCAGTCGTTTTGACTTCTTTAGTGCTGAGTAAATGGATATTATTCATTCCCTCAAATTGTTTCGACACCTTTTAGTTGTACCATATGGACTGAGGAATGTGAGCTTTCTTTCAGCTTGTCAGAGTTGAAAATAGATGAACGTAACTTCCAAAAGGCTCAGTCTTCAGACAAGCTATGGCCAATACAACGCAGATGAAAGAGAATTTAAATTATCTCCACCCACAGTTAAATTAGTGTTCTTTTCAATTTTATTGTAACCAGTGAGGCTTCCTTGGTTTGGGATTGGTATTTCTGTACAGTGAAACTGCCTTTACAGAAGGGTAAATGGGGCTTTCTGAGGATCATTTTGCTAAATTATCTGCTTTTCTTTGAATTTCAGAGACCACTTTTTGCTATGGTGCTTTATATAACTGTGTCTGAATGCTAACTTCATGTGACTTTATTCTTCAAAAAGCCATTCTTTTTCAGTTGGACACTAACTGAAAGTTTTACAGCACCAATTAATTGTGCAGTACTTGCAGTGCTAGCCCCACCACTGTGCAGATTTTGATGGGCTTTTTTTGTTGCCTGAATTTTTTCTGAATGTGGGGATGTTGAGCATTGAAATAATCTTTGCATATTAGTGAAGTGCAATTAAGTATCTTTTAAAGGCAAAAAAGGCTCTTTACTACCACAGAAATACTTTAATATTTACCTCTTGGAAGATCTTAGTAATAACTGATAGTAGTGGCTGGACAGAAAACAAGTGAAGAAAAATGGTTTGGCGTTGCTGTATGTATACTCCTTATGAAAATGAAAAGTTGTACCTATTTAGAATTGCAAGCTGGCAGAAACTTGTGTAGGAGTTTCTATTGCTGCTCCTCCAAAACAGTACTATTGATGTTTCATTTTCAACTTAATTACAACATAAGCATTCTTACCTTCCTCCCCCAAACACAAACATTTGGTTTAAGAATGTTGGTTGTTTGGGTTTTTTTTTTTTGTTTTGGTTCTTCCAGTGTATAATAAAACTTTGAGGTATTTTGTAGTATTTT